GGGGGATTTCTTGGAAAAGCCTCAAGGGCTTTATGTGAGATTTCCACATTCCCAGGGGGCAAATGAGAGATTTGGAAGTGATGCTGAGGGAGCCCTAAGATGAATGAAACCATGAAGATGAACTGAGCCCACGCTTGCTGGGCACGTGTGCCAGGACCTGTGTTGATCAACAAGGGGCTCATGTAGGGTCCTTTTCCTTTGAGGATCTTGAGGACACCCCCTACCTTTGAAGACCTTGGGGATCACCCCAATCCCTGCATGCAGTGCAGAGGCAGAGTGTTTTGGGGACAGCTGAGTCCTGAGCCACTGTCTCTCCAGGATGCTACTGTAAGTGGCCTTTGCCCATGTCCTGTTCCCCCCATTCTCCCCCTCCAGGCAGCTGGTCTCTTCCCTCCAAGAGAAGGGATGGGAGGGCAGGAGGGCACTCCCACCTCCCTCTGCCCCATCTCTCAGTCTCTGACCTGCCTCCTGGGCCTCTGATCTGAGCTCCACAGAGGGACCTTGTTGAGGGCCTTGATGGTACCTAGCATTCCTCCAGCTGCCCGTCCCTGAGGTCATGCCATCTCCTCTTTCACCTACAGCGTCCTCCCCGACCAGGTCTCTGCTCTGCTGCTCTACTGCTCTGCCCCCCAATCAATCCATTTCCCACCCAGTTTTCATGCACTTAATTTTCTTTGGGTTTTTTTGGTGGCTGGCTGGTATGGGGATCTGAAACCTGTGACTTTGGTGCTACAAGGCTGCACTCTAACCAGCTGAGCTAACCAGCTAGCCCTCCCACCCAGTGTTGATAGAGCAACTAAAACCCAGATCAAAAGTACTTGTAAATAATATAGCTGATAAGGGATTAACATCCAGATTACTAAAAATTCCTACAACTCAACAACAATAAAAAACAATCCAATTTTAAAATGGGCAAGAGACTTGAATAGATACTTCTCCACAGAAGATAAACTAATGGCTAACAAACATATGAAAAAATGCTCAAAGTCTTTCGGGAAATGCAAATCAAAACCACATTGAGATACTACTTCACACCCATCAGGATGGCCATTATTTAAACAAAATAGGCTGGTTGATTAGCTTGGTTAATTAGAGTGTGGCGCTGATAACACCAAGATCAAGGGTTTGGATAAAATAAAAATAAAAAAATAAAAAAGGTGGAAGCATCCCAAGCATCCCTGGACAGATGAATGGGTAGACAATATGGGATATATAGATCCATACTATGGAATATTATTCACCTTTAAGTAAGAATTCTGACACATGCTACAATATAGATGAACCTTGAAAACATTATGCTAAATGAATGAATCCAGATGCAAAACGACAAATACTTTATGATTCCACTTACATGAAGTACCTAAAATAGGCAAATTCATGCAGACAGAAAATAGAATGGTGGTTACCAGGGACTGGGGGAGAGAGGGGAATTAGGAGTCAGTGTTTAATGGGAATAGTTTCTTTTTGCAAAGATGAAAAGCTTCTGGAAATGATGGTGGTGTTGGTTACACAACAATGTGAATGTATTTAATGCCACTTAAAAATGGTTAAAATGGTAAATGTATGTCATATATTTTACCACAATAAAAAAAAAAAAAAAAGACATCCACCTATTTTGATTTGTATCCAAAGTATGAGGTGGACGGTCGGATAAGCAGAGGAATGGATGTATGGACGGATACAGTGCGATAAAGCCGATGTGGAAACGTGTTAATTTTAGAATCCAGAGGTGTTCACCGTACTATGTTTCCAACCTTTCTGTATGTTTGAAAACTTTCAAAATAAAATGTTAGAAAATAAAAACTGCACCCCTGCTGGATGTGGGCAGCTGCTGATGTCACAAAAGAAAGGAGCAAGAGACCTGGGTGCATCCTGCTGACAGCACAATTCCTCCAGTTGGAGGAATCTTTCTGAAAAATCAAAACTGAAATCAGACGGGCCGGCCCGTGGCTCACTCGGGAGAGTGCGGTGCTGATAACACCAAGGCCCCGGGTTCGGATCCTATATAGGGATGGCCGGTTTGCTCACTGGCTGAGCGTGGTGCTGACAACACCAAGCCAAGGGTTGAGATCCCCTTACCTGTCATCCTTTAAAAAAAAAAAAAAAAAAAAAAAACTGAAATCAGACAATTTACAGTCAGTCAAGTTCAGTGGACAGAGGCATGACTAAAAC